GTCCTCCTGCAGCCATTGCCAGGCATGGGAAGGACAAGGCAGGGATTGCAGAACCCCTGTGGGAGGGAATAGAAGGGGATGTTTTGTGCCCAGACTTTATCAAGGCCCTTGACATGGTTTCCTGTGGTCTCCTTATGGCCAGACTGGTGAGAGCTGGACTGAAGAAGTGGAAGATGTGGTGGGTGGGAAGTTGGCTGAATGAAGAGTGTCCAATAAAATCCATGGTACAAAGTCCTCTTGGCAGCAACTTCCTGGTGAAATCCCTCAGTGACCATCTCTTGAACACCACTAGAGAACATCTTTATTATCTCTCTGTACAATGGGACAAAATGTGTTTTCAAGTCCTTTGTGAATGATGCCAAATTTCAGAGAGCCCTTGAGCAATGTGTCCTGGTTTAAAGACATTTATTGAGGTGGGAACTCCAATCAAATTAACTCACTCCCCTTTTATTCCCCACCAGTACAAGGAGACAAGATACAAAGAGGTATAAGTGAAAAAAATAACAGTTTACTGTTGGGGAAGAAGAAAACGACTGGCAGAAATACCAGGCTTGGAGACAGATCTATAACCCCTGAGATGACTAATCTACACCGGAATGGACACTAATACACTGGAAAAGACGTTTATTTACCGGATGTGACTACCATTGGACTGACAGTTTTTCCCCAGTTTTCCCCAGTTTATTGTTGTACTGTTCTAGTGTTGTATGTACCCCAGCTTGTTGTTTTAAAAATCGTATCCTCCATATTGTCTCCTTCTTCCCTCACAGTTTTCCCGCCCAAACCTGTTGTTCTGCCCTGTTTTCCCGCTCCTCTGCCTGCTATTGGCTGCTGTTTGGTGCAGTGCAGAGGTAGCTCCTATTGGCCCATTCTCCTAGTGACACCCAGACTCCGCCCATCTCTACCCTGTTGCCCTATCCCAAGAGCCCCTGAGTTGTCAATCCTTTACTCCTCCCCTATCCTGAGTCCAGCCCCTCTTCCAACCCTCTGTAAGTCCCTGCTTGTCCTAATAAAGTTGGCATTGCTTCACGAGACCTCAGCTGTGTCAAGACCCTGATTTGCAGTGCCCGGTCCCATTTTCCTTTCCCCCGCGGGCCGTGGCAGTTCACTGATGAGAAATAGAGCAGCAAAACCAGCAATACCAACAGAACAGTTCAAAGAACAGCAGAGAGAGAAATTGCTTCCTCTCTGCCCCCCTGCCCCAACTCCCTTTTGTAAACAGATCAAAACAGGGATCAACACGTGCCTGCCTTCCCCCTTTTCCCCCTGAATGAACAAAGAACAAAATACAAACCAAGGAAAGAGGGGGCAAAGCCAAATCTGGGCAAATCTCTGGTCTGAGATCAGTGGTGCTGCCCAAGAAGACGCTGACTCCAGAGGTGTCCAAGCGGGGCAGAGCCGGCGACACCGGTCCCTGCGGCGGCGGGGGGGAGGCAGCGGCTCTGCTTGATTCCATGGAGTTCTGGGGAGGCACAGGGGGTGCCATGAGACTCTTCAGAGTCACTATGGCCCCTTGGTTCCATGAGATTCCACAGTGTCCCTGCATTCCTTTGGTCCATGAGGCCCTGCAGTGTCACGGTGCCACTTGATTCCGTGACATTACAAAGAATCAGAACGGCCCCTTGATTTAAGGCCAACTGCACATGGGGCTGCCTTGGGGGGAGTGTGGGCACCCAGACAAGGGAGTTGTCACCCCTTGGACTCAGCACATCTGGACTGGTCTGTCTGTCTGTGAGGTTCCCTATTCTAGAGGAATGAGGAAGAACTGGAGAGGGTCTAGAGGAGATGTGACAGGATGGAGCTTTTCTTGGTGCTGGAATGAAACTTGTAAAATGCAGCTTGGAAGGTTCAAACTGGATGTGAGGAAGAAGTGTCACTCAAAGAGGAGCTGCAGGACTTTTGCATTAGACCTCTGATGGCCCATCAAAGCCCATTCCCCCCTCGACCAATCTTGAAAGGCAGGAAAAACCCTTTTCCCAGGCCCCTCACGGGAACTCTGCACAGGCCCAGGAGATGTTGGGGGTTCGTGGCACGGCCCGGGACACCATCCATGGATATAATAACTCCTAACTTCTTGGAGTGTGGGGGCTTCCCTCCCCCACCCCCAATGGATCAAGGCCACCACTTCAACTGACAGCCATTGGAGCTGCAACTGCCAAGTTCCATCTCTGGACCCCGTGGGCAGTGACTATAGACAGCTTTCCACTCTCGTCTCTGCTTTCTCTTGCTCTCCCTTACCCTTATCCTGCCTTTCCCTTATGCATTTTCCCTAAAGGTTCTCTTTATGCCATATTGCTGTAGATGAGAGATAGAGATGATAACACCCAAAATGGCAACATACCTGTTTACCTTTGAAACAACATTGTTCTAAAATAAACCCTACATATATATGTTTTCAAACACCAATTATTCAGTCACCTCCAGCGTGATCCTGCTTGTTCCCAGTATACCCCAGTTGCGCCAACATGGTCCCAGCTGCCCTCAGAACGCTCCCAGTCAGTCCCAGTATGACCCCAGCCGCCTTCACTGTGGGCCCAGTTGCTCCCAATAGGATCCCAGTTGTGCCCAGCATGGTCCCAGTTGCTCCCAATGGCTCCCAGTGGGATCTTAGTAGCTCCCAGTTGCCCCAAGCGTAGAACCACTTGCTGCCAGTATGATCCTAGTCTGATCCCAGTATGATCCCAGTACATATGATCCCGCTGGATCCAGTCTGGGTCTCGGTGTATCCCGGTGTCCCCCCTGTCCCCCCACCCCGGTGTCCCCCCCTTTTCTCTCCCCACAGAGCTCCTGAGCCGGCGGCGGCCGCAGCCCCTCCCCAGAGCCTCGGGCCCAGCCTGGACCCCCCCCATCCCCGTGAGGATTTTGGGGGGTCGTGTGTCCCCCCCTCCCCTGCTGTCACTCTGCCTCCGCCCGGCTGCTCCCAGTGATCCCAGTAAAGCTTCCCAGTTCTCCCCAGTCCTGGTTATTGGGGGCAGTGGGGGAGGGGCTTGGAGGGTCTCTGTGAGGTGGAGCCGAGTTTGGGGGGGGCAGAACCGACGCCGGGATGGATCGGGAATGGGGACCCCCCGGTGTTCCCCCAATGTCAACTCACTCTGGGGGGGCTTTGAGAGGGCACCTGCCCTTCAATAAAGCACCCAGCTCACCCCAAAACGTGCTGGGAACTTCCCCAAAACCTCCCCACAGCTCCCCAAGGACCCCCAAACCACTCAGAGCCCACCCAGGACCCCCCCCAACCCCTTTTCTGGGGGACTTCTCTGGGCACTGGTGGTGCTGGGAGCCCCCCCGGCTGCGGGCGAGGAGCTCTCGGGTGAGTGGGGGGTGGGAAGGGGGCAGTTGGTGGGAAAAGGGGGGTCAGAGGGGATAAAGGGGAGGTGGGACCCCAAACTGAGTGGGAGGGGAGTGGGACCCCCCAAAAGTGGAGGGGGAGGGGCACTGAGGTTTGGGGGGTGATGGGAAATGGGTGGGAGAGGTCAGAAGAGTGGGGAAAGGGGAGGGTGGGACCCCCAAACTGATCATGAGGGGGCTGGGGAGTGGGGGGTGATGTGGAAGGGGTGGGAGAGTGGGGAAAAAAGTAGGGGTTGAGACCTCAGAGTGATCCTGGTTGGGCTGGGGATCGAGGGGACCATGGAAAAGTGGAAGGAACAGGGAGAAGGGAGGAAAAGGGAAGGTGGTCTGGTGGGTCTGACGGTCCCATGGGGGTCTTGGGGCACAGGGGGACTGGGAAAGGGGGGTGGCTCCCCTGAGCTCCCAACTTCCTGTGGGGTGCTGGGGGCTGCTGGATCCAATCTCAGCCTTGGATCATGCCAACACTTTCAGTTTAGAGGAATTACAGAGGTGTGACTGAACCACTTTAGTCCCCCAGGTTTTAATGATGGCAAATCAGATCTCTTGATAGAAATGAATTATTTGGGGTTACAAATGATCAGACAAAAGATTTTCATCAGAATTACTTACTGCACAATAGAAACACTAAAACTACCAGGAGTACAGGAGAAGATAGGACAGTGCTCTACACTAAAGTAATTATTGATGCAATTCTACTAAAGCTGAAACAAAAGCAATAATTCTTAATTAGAGGTGGATGGAACTCCCCCAGACCAACGCTGGTGGGGAGATCTCTGCTCTCAACCTCCAGGAGTGACCTTGGGGGGTCCCCAGCCATGGCAGGAATCTCCACACACCTCCAGAAAGGTTCTGTTGGAAGAAGCTGCCCCTGGGAAAGGGGACTGGCTTTGGAGCCCCTCCTGCGGGGGGATCTCCGGCCCTTTTCCTCCCCGCTGCCTTCCTGCGCCGGGGAGCCCTTCAAAACGGCCTCTCCCACCAGGGTCTCACGGGGGGATTTGTCCTCCGGGCTCTCCGTCCTCAGCTCGGGGCCTGGGGCAGGAGGGAAGAAGGACAGGCAGGGGATTTGCCTCCGGCCCACAGGGAAGGCCAAGGACATCCCCCCAACTCCGGCCCCGGCAGGACGGCGGCGCCAGCGGGGTTGTCCTGCAGCCTTGCATGATTCCTTCCCCAGAGATCCTCAGCAGTAGCATTAAAAACTTCTGTTTCTATAACATTTGAACTGTTTTCTTCTTTTTCCTCACTAGTCCATCTCTGACAGGACTTCTTCCATCCTGCATATGACAAATCCATTGCCACAGTGGCTCTGGAGGTCACTGACATTGTTCAAGGTGGAGGCCACAGCACTTCAAAAGGGAGGACAGGGCCACATGATCCTCCCGTGCTGCTGGTTGGTCCCCCTGTCTCTGGGCAAACTGCCCCTCTCCGGAGCTGAGACCTGAACAACTTTGTCGCTTCTTACTGCGAGCTGTGACTGCCCTGCAAACTCTGCAGGAACACCTACTTGTTCCTAACACCCTAAAGCACTCAAAAGCACAAGCACCCCCTGAGGCCATATGTTAGTTTTACCCTTGGGCAGTGCATGTCACTGCATCTTTCAGACCAGCCTGATCTTCTGCTGATACTCCTCTGCCTCAGTAGCAAAAGCCTTCCACTGGAATCGGGCTGTGATGTTACTTCTGTTGTGGGTGGCCGTGGTTCTGTGGCTTGACAAGTTCCAAAGAGTACTTGTCCAGCCCGATGTTGAAGTCCTTAGCTTTTCCAAGAAGTCTGGTGTGGGTATCTTCACCTGGAACAAAGCAAAGAGGAGTCTTTGCTCAGCTCCCTTGCTGATGGAATTACAAGGAGCAGAGCAAACCACAGGTAACAGAAGAAAGTGTCCAGCTTTTAGCTGGATAAGTAATTCCATGGATCAGTACATTTATCAAATCCCAACAGCTCCGTGGGTACAGTGTGAGGATGTCCTGGACACCACCTTAAGCACCTTATTTCTGGGTGGGTTTGTAGAGATTTGTCCCCAGGTGACAGTGTTTACAGTGAGATTTGTCAGGTGTGCTCAGGTGACCCACTCAGATCCCAGGCAATTCTGCATCAAATTCATTCGGGTGACTCTAAGGAGCCCCACTCAGTCACAGCCCAGGGGCTCCTGAAGGCACCCCACGGGGCTCCTGCCTCTCCCAATCCCTTGTTGCTGACAAGCAAAGATTCCTGGGGGCAGGTGTGAAGAAAGGGAGGTCCAGGGGAGCAAGGGAAGTGAAGCCCACGGCAGAAGGGAGCAAAGGTGAGGAAACAAGACACAATGCTCTACAACATTCAATATGACAAAGCACTAGAAAATCAACACCATGAAAGCCATCATCCCCTCCCTGTCCAAACCCACGGCCACATCAGTCTAGAAATATTTGATATCATTCTGATCTCAAACACCAAGCTGAAACATTTGAAATGAAAGAAAGAAGGGCAGAGAGACAGACTAAAAGTACAGAGCAGCTTTTATATGAAGACTGAATGGGGTTCCTCAACCCAGAAATCAAATGGGAGACAGATGGGAGAGGTTGGGAGAGCATGAATGGCCTGGGAAATGGGAATAAGGGACAATTTGTCACAATTTGTCATCCAACAGGAACCCGAGGGCCTGAAAATGTTCTTAGACAGAAATGACATGTATATGTAGAGGACAAGATAGAAAAAGGGTCTGTGGCAAGACAACAGGGAAGCAGCTTAGGGGACAGAGGTGAGCAAAAGACACATGACATTGGAGAGAGTTGGATGGAAAGCTCACATGTCACAGACAGCACTGTCCAGGAACACAACTTCAGCCCTGCACATCCACACTGCAGTGGAGAATCAAGGTTCCTCCTTCCTCCACTCAGCAACTCCCAGCAAAACAGGATTCCAAAAATCTCATCCCTGTTTGAGGGCTTTATCCACTTTATCAACCCCCTAAACACTAACTAGTTTGCACTTTTCGTTGCGGTGAAGCTGGGACGGGGCGGTGCTGCTGGAGGGGGAATTCAGGTGGCTGGGACAGTGGGGAGTGCTGGTAGAGGACTGGGGTGGGGGTGCAGGATGGAGGACACCATGCTGGCACCAGGGTCCCCCCAGGGATGGACCAGCACACAGCAACACAGCACATCCAGGACAGGGGCAGACTCAGCCTTGGCCCCTTCTCTGCTCACTTCTGAGCACTGAAACACACGGAGGCTTTGAAAGGAACAGTTCTACAAGTAGTTTGCAGAGCAAGTCTAACGTTATTCTGCTTAGAAAGGGCTCTGCTGTTCGGAAGGACGCGGGGTGAGTGCACCGTGCAGTGCCCAGCACTCACCTCTGTCGCAGTGCACTGCCAGGGGTGTGGAATGGTGCCCGGTCTCCAGCGGGTGATATTCCACTGTCACTTGCTTGGCTTCACCAACATCGAGGGTTCCCGTGGCTGGGCTGACAGTGAAAGGGCTGCAAGACCAAGAGAGAGATCAGGACTCTTGGGGGAGGTTTGGGGACGATACTTGCAGTCTAGTTCACTTCAGCTGACTTGTGCAAGCGAGGAGCAAAGCAACCACAGTCAGCAGAAGACAGACAGAACACACAGCATCAGAAACAGCTACTGACTCTCTTTGGAGGAGATGCAGCCCTCAGAAAATCCTGTGGGATGAAATGAACTCATCTCCCCCATACTCTGTGTGGAGGCTCAAGGGTCCGACTGCCAGCAATCCCAGCAGAGACTGGTTTGGGAAGAGCACAGAGAGGGTTAAGAGCTATTTGCATGCACAACTTGACACTGACTGCCTCAGGAATCTCTTTTCCAGTCCCTTCTAAACCTCATTCAAGAGATGCAAATGGAATCTCACCTGTCCTGTGAGATTCCAGCCTAGGAATCAAGAAGGAGAATAAAGTCTTCCTTGAAGACCAGAGAATAATGAGTTTAATTTGCAGTGTGGTTGTTTGGGGTTGTTTTTCCCCATGTAAACATCCTGGTTTAGCCTAAGAAAGGGCACCTTTTATCACATTTCAATGAAAGCTGCTGGAAGAAAAGGAACAATGAAAACTCTGAAGGAGTGCAACTGCAAATTGGAGCAATACAGTGACCTGGACATAATACCCAAAAGGAGGGTCCTGTTTACAGCCTGAAGGATTCAATCCCAGCTAAATGAAGTGCCATTAAGAGCAGCACATCAAGGGAGCTGAACAGGAGGTTTCTGTGTATTCCCCAGCGATGCAGTCTGGGATTCTGGAGTGTCGTCCAGGCTGGTAACTGTTTGCTTGGCCCACCAGAGAAACAAGGGAAATCATTAGGCAAATGTGTTGGTGCAGCTTGGATTTAACAGGAGCAATTTGGCTTTGTCACCAGGTAAACAGCTCTTGCCTGACAGACACAAAAACCAGTGCTTTAGTGCTTCAGGATAGCTCAGGTGAGAGGTGCTTCTGCCCAGTGGGTTTATTGGCTGACAGTGGGAGGCAGCCATTTCAGAAGGTGGTGGTGCTCAGGAGGGTGCAGACCAACCACTAACGTGTTCCAGCAGTCCCCAGGAAATCTGGGAGAGACAAAGCTCAGGGCTTGCATCCTGCTTAAAACACTAGAAGCAACAGCAGACCCCACACGTCCTGCCCCTTTCCAGCTGTGGCTGCAGTGCAGCAGCTCGGATGCTCTGGTTCCTTTGGGATCCTCTTTCCCAACTCTGCCATCACCCAAAGGTGTTTTGCACTAAGACAGATGAGCTGCTTTACCTCTCAGTGCTGAGGCTGTAACAGGCTTCCAGGTTCCCGGTGTTGTGAACCAGCAGAGTCTTCTGGGTGCTGTGGTTGACTGGACACGGCGAGAAGTCCAGCTGGTCAGGGAAGTCCAAGACTGGGCGGGCACCAATGGCCCGGATTGGCACAGTGAGCTTTTCTCTTTTGCTGATGCAGACAAGCTGGTGGAAATGATCCTGCAGGAAAAGTAACTGGCACAGCATTGAGGGCATTGAGTGCCATCCTCATGGCAGAAGAAAAAGTGCTGTTTTCTATGACCCTTTGTGGGCATGAATTGACCTCTCCCACCCCAAAAACGACCACTAATTCATACTAATAAAGGCTGGAGAACAGAGCATGTGAAAAAGCATCATTTTTGCTCCATTCCAATGGGAAAGAATAAAGCTCTCTGGATCATCTTTTTGTTCCTCTAGTATTTTCCATATTTAAATCCCTTCCACTGAACCTAGAGATGGCTAAACATCAACACCCCTCCCTGTCACTTCCCTGCTGTTCCATCTGCCTCTTCCCCCGTGAACGTTCAAGAACAGGCATGGAGGGAAAGCACAGCCCTCTAGGCCCAGCTGCAGGGCCTGGCAGCACCACGCCGTGCCAAGGTGTGACCAGCTCCAGGCTGCCTGCCCCCAGCCCAGAGCCGACCTCACAGCACGGGCTGGGCTATAACCAGCGTGCAACAAACGCCCTGGCTTTAGAGAGAACGTTCCTCCAACTCACCTTGCTCCCCTCAGGGGTGAAAAGGATGTTTATGGTGCAAAATGAGCCCGGTGGGATCTGATGGCACACACCACTGGGGCCGACCAACTTGAAATAAGGTGAGCTGTCCATGGTGACCTTCACCAGCCGAGTAACCTGCAGGACACTTATCAGGAGAGAGTGGCAGGGACTGCCTGTCAAAAAATGGAGTAACTCCCCCGGCAGAACTCGTGGGCCCAGAGCCCATTTATCTGGAGTTTTTCTGCACAAGATGTCCGGGTCAGCCTCTGATTACTGACACAGCAGGCATGCTGGAGGGAGAGAGACAGTGGCCCCGGGCATGGCACCTGTGCTGCCCACCCTGACAGCCCCTCTGCCAGGCTGCGGGAGGGGCACTTTGCTCTCACCTGGCTCCCTCCCTTTGGGGGCCTCCTCCTCTCTGTCTGACGTGGGACACGTCAGTGGTGGGTCCCTGTCTCACCGTCCCACCGGTGAGTGGAGCTCCCAGCACTGGGTGCTCTAACACAGCTCCTGTCACGGTGACTTCTGAATGTTCTGGATGAGTTCCGGGTCCGACGCTGCTGGCGGGAGTGGTGTTGTCTTTGGGGAGTCCTGGCTGCTGTTTCCCTTTGGTTTCGCCTCCCAGCACTCGGTGCTGGCGTGCAGTTCCTGTCATGGGGACTTCTGCACCGGCCGGATGGATTTGGGGTCCGACGTTGCAGGCAGGAGTGATTTCCCCTGCGGGATGTCCTTGAGTGTCTCTGCCTGGGCCTGCGCCTCCCAGGACTTGGTGCTGGCACATGGCTCCTGTCCTGGGGACTTCAGGACCGAAGGTGTGGAATTTGGGCCCAACGTTGCTGGCGGGAGTGGTTTTGCCGTCGGTCAGGCCCCCGACTGCTGGAGCAGCTGCTGTCCTCAGTTTCTGGGAAGCTGCTGTGGGATGACCCCGATGTTACTTGCTTGTCAGAGCTGGAGCTGCTCGTCTCCTGTGAGGGAGATTGTAGAGACTGCTCCGATGTTGCCTATCGGGTGGTATGGAGGTCGCTGGTCTGTGGTGCTGCAGATCCAGGAGATGGCAGCTGGGCGCTGGGGCTGGGGCTGACGGTCTCCAGTGCTGGAGAACTGGGAGACAGCCCTGATAGCGCCAGGCTGCCTGTGTTGGGGCTGATGGTCTCAGGTTCCCTGGAGCTGTCAGAAGGCTCCAGTCCTGACAGTCAGGCCTTGCTGGGGCCAGCAAGTTCTGAGTCATCTCAGGAGGCTGTGAGGGGAAGCAGGAATGTCAAGGCCACCCCAGGCCCAGCCAGGATAGGCCAGAGCAGTGCGGCTCTGCCAAACCCGCCCTGGGCACCCACTGCCAGGCCCAGGGGCACCAGGCCCAGGGTTACCAGGTGCTTTGCTTCTTACCTGGCTCCCTCCTTTGGGGGCCTCCTCCTCTCTGTCCGATGTGGGACATGTCAGTAGTGGGTCCCTGTCTCACCGTCTGAGCGGTGAGTGGGGCTCCCAGCACTGGGTGCTCTAACACGGCTTCTCTCATGGTGACTTCTGAATGTTCTGGATGAGTTCCGGGTCCGACGCTGCTGGCGGGAGAAACACAAGCAGCCAGTGAGGCCCTGGTGCTGCTGAGCCCCTGCTGTGCCCCCCGGGGTGACAGAACCACTCCTACTTGGATGCAGTCCCTGTGGAACCAGGCGGTTCTGCAGGCTGGGCACACCAGGGTGTTGAAGGTCATTCTGTCCTCCACAGGCTCCAAGCAGATGAGGCATTGGGTGCCCGGCTCTGGAGTCGCCCACACTGCCTGCTGTGGGCTGTGTGCGGGGCAGAAGGCCCTGGGGGGAAAAGGGGTGGGTGAGGTGAGAAGTGCTGGGCCCTTCCCTGGTGGTGGGGAGGAGGGGACAGGAGGTACCTGTACGGTGGCATGAACTGGGTGACACAGCCTCCCTGCTTGGCACAGGGCAGGTGGAAGCTCAGGTCACAGTGTCTTGCCCAGCAGGGGATGGTGGCCCCGCCCTGGCCACAGATGCAGCAGCTCTGGAAAGAGCAGAGCAGCCCCATCAGCAGCAGCCTCAGGGCCTCCTCCTTGTCCCAGAGCTGGTTGGAAGGGCTGGGCTTTCTTGCTTGGGGTCTGGGCTGAGCTCCAGCAAACCTCGCCTGGCCCAAATCTCCCTGCTCTTGTCAGGCTCTCACCTGCTGAGCCGCCTGGGAGACTATATCTGGGATCTCCCTTGTGCCAATATTCCAGTCTTCTAGTCGCTGAACCGGGATGTCAGGAGAGTTGCTGACAAAAAACTGCAGGAAAAGGACACTCACTGATGAAGAGAGAGTGGCAGGGACTGCCTGTCAAAACGTGGAGGGAGCCTGCAGAGCAACTCACCAGGCAGAACTTGTGGACACAGAGCCCAAATATGAAACTTTTTTGCCCGCAGATGTCCGGGTCAGCCTCTGATGGCTGACACAGCAGGCATGCTGGAGGAGAGAGAGACAGTGGTCCCGGGCATGGCACCTGTGCTGCCCACCCTGACAGCCCCTCTGCCAGGCTGTGGGAGGGGCACTTTGCTCTCACCTGGCTCCCTGTCTTCGGGGGCTTCCTGCCTCTCTTCGGGGGCTTGGTCCTCTCTCTGTTCAGGGGCTTCCTGTCTCTCTTTGGGGGTTTGCTCCCTTTCTTCGGGGGCTTGCTCGTGTCTGTCTGCCATGGTGATGTCAGCAGGGCGTCTGTGCTCGGAACACCGAGGTCTCTTCCAAGGTGCTCCTCCACTGGTTCCGAGGCAGGAAACAGTGACACTGGGCCTCAGCCCAGAGTCCGGTTTTTTGCCCTTGGCCCCACGGGTCACAGTGGCCAGTCTTCAAAAAGGGCGGCAAGATGGACCCAGGAAATGACCGGTCAAATACAGTCACCTCCCCCCCCAGAAAGGGGACAGAACAGCTCATGCTGCATGTCATCTCTAAGCCTGTGGAATAAAAGGAAGGGAAAATCATGCTTGGCCATCTCCTAGCCTTCTGTGCTGGAGTGACTGGCTGGGAGGTGAGGGGAGAGCAGTGCCTGTTGTCTGCCATGACTTCAGTAAGGCTTTTGACCCTGCCTCCCAGAACACCCTCCCAGGCAGCTCAGGAAGTGTGGCTTAGATGAGTGGACGCTGAGGGGGTTGAGACCTGGCTGAATGGCAGAGCTCAGAGGGTTGTGAGCGCGGCGCTCAGTGCTGGGGCCAGCCTCGTTTGACCGGTTGCCCGGTGACCTGGCAGAAGGGACGGAGAGCACCCTCAGCACGTTTGCTGATGATATGGGACTGGGAGGAGTGGCTGAGGCACCACAAGGCTCTGCTGCCGTCCAGCCAGTCCTGGGCAGGCTCAAGCGTTGGGCACAGACACACCTAATCATGCTGCACAAAGGCAACCATTGGGTCCTGCTCCTGGGAAGGAGTAACCCCGTGCTCCAGAACTGCTGCCCTCAGCTGCTTTCCTGCTCCCTCAGGGGTCCATGGCAGCACAGACAGGCAGTTACAGCAAACTCCCTGGTGACCTAAGAACTTCTTGCACTTCTGGAAACAGAATCCATTTTCAAACACGCAACTGGAGAGGCCATTGGTACTCTATTTGAACAATAATATAAAGAATAATTTGTTTACTAGGAAACTTCAGGTGGAAGTGTGGAAAAGGAAAAGAAACAACTTTTTATTAACAAAATCTAAATAAACAACAAATGGTGCAATCAAAAACTTTCAGAACAAACACAAACAAAGTCCCAGTTCCCCAGGTGTGCTGGGAGAAACCTGTGGCAATCCAGGGAGGGGGGAGAGAAGGCAGGACTGTCCTGGCAGTTCAACAGCTGCTCACAACCAGCAAAGAAGAAGTCCCTTTTTCCCCACAGGCAGTCTTGAAAGCAGAATGCCTCGCTCTGAGATGGGTCGGTCTCTCTCTCTCAGTCGTTCTCCGCAAGGTGTCCCGTGGGGAGAAAAACTTCCCCTCAGGAAAAGGGAAAGAGGTGGCCAAAAACCAGGTCCCGGACCAAACCCAAAAGGACTCCCCCAGCTCTCCCTGTGGCCACAAACTGCCCCGGGAGATCTCCCTCTGTCCCCGTTCCTGCATGTGCGGCCCCGCTGTGCCCCCACCCCGTCCCAACAACAGGGGGAAGTGCCGGATTCTGCCCTGGGATGGGGCAACCCCGCATGGATGGACAGACTGGGAAGGAGAGGCTGGAAAGCAGTGCTGGGAAAGGGCCCTGGGGGTGCTGGTGGGTGGCCAGTTGGCCCTGAGTCAGCAGTGCCCTGGCAGCCAGGAGGGTCAAGCCTGTCCTGGGGGCATCAGGCCCAGCATGGCCGGCCGGGCCAGGGAGGGGATTGTCCCGCTCTGCTCTGCCCTGGGGCGGCCTCACCTGCACCATTGGGGCAGTCTGGGGGGGCACAATGGAAGGGAGAGATTGAGCCATTAGAGAGTGTCCAAAGGAGGGCAACGAGGATGGGGAAGGGCCTTGGGGGGAAGGCGTGTGAGGACACTGAGGGCACTTGGTGTGTTCAGCTGGAGAAGAGGAGACTGAGGGGAGACCTCACTGCAGGTCCAACTTTCTGGGCAGGGGCAGAGGAGGGGCAGACCCTGAGCTCTGCTCTGTGTGGACCAGGGACAGGTCTGAGGGAGTGGCCTGGAGTTGTGTCAGGGGAGGTTTAGGTTGGATCTTAGAAAAGGATTCTTCCCCCAGAGGGTGTTTGGGCACTGAACAGGCTCCCCAGGGCAGTGGGCACAACACCAAGGCTGGCAGAGCTCAAGAAGTGTTTGCATGATCCTCTCAGGCTCATGGTGTGACCCTTGGGGATGGGCCTGTGCAGGGCCAAGGGTTGGACTGGATGATCCTTGTGGATCCCTTCCAACTCATCCTGTTCTGTGATTCTCTGATTATCAACCCTGTGTTCAGCACAAAGCCAAAACACAGCCCTGCACTGGCCATGGGGAAGAAATTTAACTGGACTCCCCCCGAAACCAGCACACCCTTTAGGGGCTCTCCCAGAAACATCCCCCAGTCCATTTGCCAGCTGGAACCTGTGACTCTGAGTTCCTGCTTCCCCAGCCCCCAGGGATGGTCTCCTTGTCTGCTCATTCCTCCACACTCTCTTCTCAGTGATGGCATCTTAATAAGACAAGCCCCTGGGAATAATTTACTTGTAAGTCTTCAATTCTTTTGTGGTTAATTAGACAAATCTCAGAAGTGCATTCAAAGTGAATATCTTGTATTAATAAAACCATTAAAAAAGAGGTCTTTTTTCTGTCCTGTTTACTTTTTTCCTGTTTTAACATTGATATCAGCAATCCCCAGTCGATACTGATCGTGGGCACCTCCTAATTCAGTCTGAATAGATAAGAAAATCAGGACCCTTTATGTCTGACAATCCATCAGACTTTGTCCCTATCCCCACCCCACCATTCCCTCATCAAACCCCTGGCACTCAAAGCAGCCTTGGGCAAATCTGAGCTCCCTCCACTCAAGGCTGGACCTGCAGGTTTCAGCTCCTTGGCACCAACTCCCACCTGCTTGGCTTGGAGAAAGAGCTGCCCGAGACACAGAGGGATGTTCATTTATTGCCAGCAAACAAAACCAGAGGAAGGCACAGCTCAATAAAACCCAGAAGTCCTTCTCCTGCTGTATATTAGGTCCACATTGCCTCCACTGAAGTCCTCTTTGCACAGTAGATAGTCTTAGACCAATGGCAAACACCTTCTGTGTCAAGCACAGAGCCCAAGATCCCCCCAACACTCCCTGCCCCGCATTCTGTCCATATTTGCCCTTTGCACACAGGGAGTCACACACTGAAGTCACAAGATCCCTCAGTCCACAGAGGGAGGAAAAGAGACAGTGAAAGAATTTCTGTGCTGTGCAGAGCTAAATCTGCACTCATCCCAATATTCCGGGCTTACAGGACCTTTATCAAACACATTCTGCAGCATCTCTTCACTGGGCAAACATCTGTGGGGATGGCCAGGCCCAAGGAGTGGTGGGCAATGGAGTTCCATCCAGGGGTGTTCCCAGGGCTCAGCACTGGGCTCAGGGCACTTCAATCTCTTCCTCAATGATCTGCACAAGGGCATCGAGTGCAGCCTCAGGCAGTTCCCAGGGCACACCAAGCTGGGGGGAGTGTTGATGTGCTGGAGGGCAGGAAGGCTCTGCACAGGGATCTGGACAGGCTGGATCCATGGGCCCAGGCCACTTGGAGGAGGTTCAACAAGACCAAGTGCCGGGTCCTGCCCTGGGGTCACAACCACCCCAAAGCCCTGACCATGCCCTGCAGCTGCCCCCCACAGCCTGTCCTGTGTCCTTAATCCCTCCATTTCCAAGGACTCTGTGGGACAAGGGAGCTCTGTGCTCTGGGTACGGAGGGAGCTCCAAGTGCCACTGGAGTGGGAACCACAACTCCTCAGGGTTGTGTTCTTTGGGAGGTCTGGAACTGGTGAGATTTAGAGCCACAGAAAGGTTTCTATTCATGGCCAATATAAAAAAAATGTAAAGATGATACATGTTAATAAACATCAAAACTCTTCCCTCAACTCTGTGCGATGTCCTGGCAGCATCTGACGTGTCACCAATTCACAAGGGATTTCCATACAGGAAGAGTTTTAGACACAGGCGTAAGAAAAGGTCATTCTATGATAGATATAAACAGGGTTGACTAATGTGCTATTTAATCTTCTGAAAGACTGGGCAGCTCCCGGAAGCTCAAAGCATGAAACCAGTCAATTGAGAAGCACTGAATGACCAGAGAGCAACTGCAGGAGGAAACCAGGGAGCAACAGGAACGACACACATCCAGCAAGTCTGCTGAAGAGATGTCCTCAGACATGGCTATTTGAACAGGAGAGGTGGAAACACCTGAAGAGAGAGGGAGATGAAGTTCTAGACTGAATAGTGGTAATACAGGTAGAGGGGCAGATCAGTGTTTCTTCTCCTGCCATCAGTACACGCCCAGGAAATTTTTGTTCTGTCCTGGTGGGAAAACTTTGACATTTCTTAAATGATCCTGTAAAGAAATAGTGCTTAAATATTATTTAAATGTGAAAGTATTAAGACTGTGCCTCTTTCCAGACAGACATTACTTATCTGACCATGACCAGGCAGCACCACAGGCTGTGCTGGATTATGGGGTGTCTCCAGTGGCACAAAGGAATCAAGGGGCCATTGGGAAACTGCAGGGTCTCATGGAACCAAAGGATCCCTGGGACACCGCATGATGAAAAAGGGAATAGAATACAGAGGTGGAAAATGTCATGGTTTCACGAGTTTTAGTATTTTAGGCCGTTTTTCCAACACTGTTTTGGAGGGACTGTCTCTTTAAGAGGGAATACCTGCCCCACGCTGGGGCTGGGCAGGGAGGGGAAAAAAGACAGAAAATGCCAGGCAGCAAATGGAACTTCTTCTCCTCCCTGGACCCCGGGGACTGGTGCCTGGAGAGTCCCTGCGGCGCCGTCCTGCCCCGGGGCCCTGCTGCTGCTGCCCCGAGTGCTGAGCTCGCTCAGCACCAGGGCCGGGGAGAGCCCGAGGGTGACCCTGAGCCCAGGAGTGACCCGGGATCGCTGCCGCTGCCCGGACACCGCAAGAGCCACGTGGACCCTGCTGGGGTCACACCGGCCCCGGACCCTGTGCAGTGACCCCGGACCCTGTGCAGTGACCCCGGACCCTGTGCAGTGACACCAGACCCTGTGCAGTGACACAAAC